ATTGAAAATAAAATGCAATTAAACTAGCCTAACGGCTTATAATTTAATCGCTCTGACTCGTACAAGCCGGCGGAACAAGCTTAATAGCTAGAAGCACTGATCTCCACAATATGAAATCGCTATGAAGTCAAAGTCGCAGGTTTTCAAGCAGGCATAACACGCTCTAAAATCAGCTTCCGAAACCTTCGCTTAAAAATAATCACTTCTTTTTCCTTAATTTGAACAACCGCGCGCTAACTGATTAAGAAGCATTGTGGCAGGAAAGCGTGGACGAAAAAGAGAGTGAAAAGGAAAGTTGCTTTAACTAAAGATTAACTATTAGTCAAAATAAAATAAATAAATCCTCGCATTCTTATTTAATCAACAGAATCAAATAAACTTATTCTCCAAATTAAACTGTTTAAAATCTAATTAACTGGCAATTATTAACAATTACAGATAAATTGTTAATAGTATTTTACTGTTAGTCGAGAGTCAACCAATTCAGATTTAACATGTTTAGAAAATAGAGCTTTCTGCTACTTTCTTGCACACAGCTGCTTTTTAAAAAATTGTTTGTAGAAAGCAGTTGTAACCAGTGCAGAATACCCTTGTTTGGTTTTTTTTTGCAATTTTAACTGGAATAGTTTCAAAATACAAAAAGATGAGAATATGAAAAGCTGCCGGCATTTAGATTCCTTTCTTTATAAACAGATTTATTTCTTTTATTTTTGCTGTCAAAACCAATATAAATAATTAAAAAGATTATATCATCAAAAATATCTGGCATTTAGATAGATTTTCTGCTATTAAATAGGCCTTTTTTTTTTTAAGGAATTTTAGTTTTTTTTTTTTTTTTTTTTTTTTTTTTTTTTTTTTATTATTATTTTGATCAACAAGAAATAAATTAAACATAATGAGTATTTTAAATCCAATTTCAGCTAAAAATATTTTTTAAATGACTGAATTTTGTTTGTGAAGTACATTATGGCAGAAGTGGAAAGTCTAGAAAAGTGTACTTTGGACGTTTAACCTTTCTTTCGGGATTAAACAAGAATAATGTTGAGACGGGTACTTAGGCAACAAGAGCAAAGACATAAATCAAATGACCACGCCTTCAGAACAACTTTTCCATTTAACCTCCTTCTCTCCAATGTGCAAGAGCACATCTTGGGTCAGAGCAGCAGGTGATTAGGCCTTTGCTTGACATTCTGTACTTTTTTTTTCCTGCTGTCCTCATGAGAATTAGGTATTTTATTCCGATAATTCTTTTTATAATGTATAATTTATTTATAAAAACATAGACAGACGAAAAGCGGATTTTCAAGAATTCTTAGTGATCCAAACAATGCAAATATTATTCTGAAAAATAAAACAAAAGTTTTCATTCTTATGATAAAATCTATTTATCATTCAAATTTGACAAGGTTTACTTTGTTGTTAGAATTATTACAAAATTTCTAAATTCAAGATGTTTAATAATCTGTGGGAATATTTGAAGGATTGGTAGCATTGATTTGTGCCAGTGTGCCAGTGTGCCTATAATAAATTATATTATAGATCTTATGCTCAATGCATACACTATGTTAGATTTCAACATTAGATTTTTATTTCGCTTTATTTCTTGAAAATAGATATAATATTAGAAACTAGTCTTTATTTTATGCGACACTTTAATCTATCAGATCTAATCGGTTACAATTACCAATTCAAGTCACATAAGATCATGAATGTATTTTCAAATAACCTTATACTGCAAATCTATGTAACAAACTTATCAATTTAGAACTAGTATGCGTAAATTTGCATCAACATTTCTAACGTTTATATCATTAGTAAAATTCATAAAGAGTGTTTTAACACAATATTTTAAAAACTTGCGCAAAAGAATTGTATGTATTTTATTGTGTAATGCATTACAAAATGTCTGTATCCGCTCCAAGTATCTATAATTAAATTATATTAAATCGAAATTTGTGAAACTACACATTCTTAAGGTAGAAGGTGCAAGGAATGGCAAAAATGGTAATGCATTTTTGCAGATGTTATGCATTTCAGATTTATTGAGTCGCTTAGTAGCTGTTCAATAAATGCCAAATTTGCTGTGTTACGTGACATTGGCAGATTTCTTGCGTTTCGGATGTTTTTCTAAAAGACAGATTTGATGTATGTAGCAGATTAGTCTACAAATTGCATTATCGGCGTGTGTACAGTAAATACGTACACTGTTGCTGCTGTTCAAGTGACAAAATGTAAGTTTTTAGGTGCGTTATACAAGCAATGGTGAAGTCCAATATATTTCAACGTGTGTTATTAAGTCCACGCGTTATGTAGTCTCACAGTGAGGGAAATATTCAGTGTGTTGTATCATCATCATAGTACCTTGAGCAGTAAAGTTATATGAAGAATAAACTCCCGCGTAAGGTAATGGTTATGTAAATTGCTACTGAATGCAAGCTACTCCAATGCTCATCTAGCTTGCAGCTGAAGTCATGCGAACTAAAGTCACGCGTATTCTACTGCCTGTTAACAGTGATGAATTCCGTTTCCGTGTAGACACTGGCAACCAACAGATGTTTCTGGCCGTTGTCTGATAGTAAACTGCATCTCAATATCGTTTGTGATGGGCGCTGGCTGCGTATCGCAACATTAGCTCCTCATACGAGCATGCTTGTCCAAATGATACTGCATTAGTGAAACAGTGATAGCTGGACGATACATAAACAAGGTTCTACAATTCAGCTTCTTCCGTTTCTGAATTTCAAACAGCCCCTATAAATCGAAACTCTTTTACTGAGCTAACGCTGAAAATGGAGTTACTAAAAGACTTGATTCTGAACTCTTTTTGCTAAACTTGGAGCAAAAATGGCCCTTGTTAGCGTCACCAATAAAAGTCCTAAAAGGTTTGGTTTATTAAATTATGGCAAATCACACGAGGGCAATCTGCCTAATGGAAGAATTGACTTCCTGTAGGGATTTCTAACGGAAACTGTCTCGTTATACACCTTACATATGAGGAAAACCACGAAAACGCCCATGCAGCCATCCCGTTCTCCTGGAATCGAACCAAGGTCGGAATTACCAGTGTCCAGTGACTTTACCGCTCGAACGCTGGTGCTTAGTAGGAGGGAAAGGGGTTACTGAAATTTTCAGCAAAAATCCATTATCGTCTTTTAACAGCCATTCTTTTGAAATACTTCTAAATGTCGCCAAGTTTTCGATAATCATCTCAACTACAGAATTAATTCCGAAAATTGGGAGTAAAGTCGATATCTCTAATATTCTGCTGCAGTTATTAATAAAATCCTATCCCTTATATATAGAATTTAATGCATGGATACGTAGTAAGTTAATTAAGCATCTGAATATACAATTATTGTAAACAAATTAAAAATAAAGAAAACTACAAAAAGCGCAAAAGATTGCAATAATATATTTTATAACAACAAATAAATAAACAAAATCAGGCGCTAATAATGCAAAATAGGAAAGGTACTCACTAAAATACGAATAAGTGAAAAAAGGATAATTTAAAATATAAAAAATATTTATTTAAATTTACAACAATATTTATTTATTTTCAAATTTAATCCTTCGTAAGATTCTTCGTTTCCCCAAATTAGTACTTTCGTAAGATTTTGCTCATTATGAATGGAAGCTTCAATAGTTTTGTTTCTGTTCGAAGAGATTTGCACTTTCGAATGTGCTTTAAATGAGTCGAAGAATAGCTTTTAAAGGAATGCTTCCAATATTTTTTTCCTTCGCACTGTAAGAGGAAAAGGTTATGTAATCCGTTTTAAAAGATGTTGTAAAACGCATTAGTTAGTCTTTCGAAATAATTTCGCCATTTATCAAGCTACTTTGCCTGGAGGTTTGAAAGAACAAATTTAGCACGTAGTTACTAACCTATTGATTAGTTGAATGGACCTAAAAGCATTAAGTCTTTGCTTTAAAGCAATTCTATTCGCAGAGGTCTTTCGTCATTTCTATCCATTATTATGTACTTTTCTTTTGATATTTATCAGCAGAAGAAAGCTGTAATCAAATTTAGGAAGGAAAAAAGCAAAGTTTACGTTTCCATGTTTTGTCTGACTCGAAGTAAAACATGGTTAAATTAATATTTTGTAATGTGAGGATAATAGTAATAAGGTCGGATTTTACCTCTGATATTTCGTCATATCATTGTTATAGAGATTATGATATTGTGATCATAATGCTAGTTTCATTTTTAATTGCCACTGACACCAAATTAAGATTGTTGCAGAGTTTGCTTACCAAAATAGGAAATAAATGCATTACAATAGAGTTCCAGTTATCCGAATTAACTTGGGCCATAGCCCATTCGGATGTTGAGAAAATTGGAATAATAGCGTTGCCTTTTAAAATCAAACACATATTTTCTGTAATACAAGTGAGAGAATTTTGGCGTTAATACCTTTCCTTTTCATCACAGTTATGTAAACCTTACTTAGCCAGGGCGTTTGTCATCCACGCCGCAAGTGTTGCTGTTCTGGTAGTCATCATCGACGTTACGCTGCCAAATCACCATTTCAGAAAAGTACTGGAATTCGATGTGACATGAAATCGCTCATTTATCTTTGAAATAAAAAAAAATAGATTTATACTTAACTAATTGAGCAATATAAAAGCAATGTACGTATTATCTTAATAATTTATATTTTTGATTGCATAAATAAATGACGTTAGGATGTTTGATTGCATAAATGTATGAAAAGCGTACAAGTGTAAAGCAGTTTTGTAGCATGTTCTCACAGCCTTGCGTATACGTCTTAAGGCAGAAAAAGTATACATATCAGTCAAGTAGCAGTCTTGTAGCACATTAGCAGTCAAGTAGTTATCAGTTTCCTTATAGCTTTAATATCACCCATAGAGCACTATAAATCCTTATTGTCAACATTGTGTTAGGTAGGGACAGAAATTGTAGACGTAGTATCCTGATTACTGCAAATGACGATGAGATATTAATAGATGGTTTTTGTCCTCTTTCTCCTACTCCATAGGCCCTGAATCTCCCACTACGGAATCTCCAACGACTCAGCGCACCACCACCGTTACTACCACCACTGTTACTACTACCACCTTTAAGTCTTCCAGTGTGCTCACTATCTTTACAATTTCGGAAGGTGAAACTACACTCTGCATCTATTATTTATATTTGCATGAATTGTGCACTTATCATATCTTTATTTTTCTTAATGTTATTTTAAGTTTTTTTTTAATAAGTTCGTTCGTGGGACTATATTAGTATTTTTTTAAAGATTTATAATCGTTTGCTCGTCAACTAACGATGCGTTTTAATATATCACATTAGAGGAGCGACTTCAGTCTTTAATCAATAAATAATGGTAAATCGTGTGGCGACTAAGAGGTAACATTAAATGTCATTTTTATTATTTTTTCCGCTAAACTTTAATCGCTTGCGGCTCACGGAATGTTGCCCTTTTCCTACTTATTAATTTTTAGGAATTTTTTTAATTCGATATTGAGCGTGAGTTACAAAAAATTTCCAATGATCTCACTACAAATTTCCAAGTTGCATTAGAAGAATTTTATATATCCATGTTACTAAGAAACAGGAATTTAATGACATCATCATAATATGAAAGACAAACTAGATGAACTGCGTACGGAGAGTGAAGGATTTATTTGCAAATTATATACACGGCCCTCCGTGTGCGACAAAAATACTTTACAAATTTTAAATCTTTCCAATTGCCGGAAGCACAAACAAGAATTGTAAATGTTACAAAAAAAAAAAAAAAAAAAAAAAAAAAAAAAGGAAAGAAAGAAAGAAAAAAACAAAGAATGATACTACTTAAACAAAATTTTAACGAATGGAAGAAACAAACATATAGGCTGAAAACACAAATTAAAACTTAAGCTAATAAGCTAATCTTGGGATGGAAAGCTATTGCCATAAATCCTTTCGTTTTGAATCCGATGGCTGAAATCAGCACAACTAATTAGGTCCTAACATAGGAAATCCAATACAACGTGTCTGAAAGTTATAATATTTCTAAAAATTTAATTATAATTGAATAAATGACACTAGTAATTGCATAACTCAACCCCCGACGTTGTGTCATAGTTCAAAAACCATACATAAAGGTTAATGCTGCAAATGCGCTGAATTATATATCTTTGGAATGAATAACTTAATTAGCTACTAAATTCATTTAAGTTTCTTTGTATTAAATTACATATATATATAATTTATTATTAGAAAAGGTATTTATATAACATCTCCAAGGAAAAGAAATTTAATTAAAGCTATGAATTATTAGAAAAAGTAAGTAGCTCTCCAAGTCAGTATCCAAAGTTATCTAGATCTATTGCGGCAAAAATTATTTAAAATCTGTAAGGAAAAATTCTTTGACAGTAAAAATTCCAACTATTAAATTTTAAATTTAAAGTATTGAAATAGTGGCTGTTGCTGTTGATCGCAGATTAATTGACTTGTCAAGAGGAACAAACCAATCTACTATCAATTAACCATAACCAAATTAAGTGAGAGTGTTTCGTCTTTTTGAAATAAGGATCAAATTAGTTATTTTTTCTCAGTTAGTTGATACGTTAAGAACAATACTCACAGCCGAGGCATATTGAATCTTCATCCATTTTTCAGTAAACACATTACGGCCACAACTAACTTCACTTTAATTCGTGCCTGTTTCTTACATTTTATGTAAGAATACATCTTACATGATAGGTAAGAAAGATAAAAAATATGTAAATTATAATATAAATTAGAAATAACCCCTTAATGCTTATTTTTTTTATTCCCCTTCTCTGCTTTAAAATCATTCTCCTCTGTGTCATTTCGAGACTAATTCCTGTCATATGCCTCTTACATAACGCTGATAATGTAAATGGAACTAAAATGCAAACAGGCAATAATAATTTTACAGCAGTATTAATTGTCTAATCAAATGCATTAAGAACTGAAACTAACTCATTCTGAATTAAGATTATATCATAATCAGAAGTCACTTGCTTTCTATACTTCGGCCTAGCTGGACTGCTGCTCTATATAGCCATAGAAGCTCTCTGTAGGAAATGGGCATGAATTAAAGTGTCAAAGTGTTTGTGGCTGCAACATGTTTACTGAAATAAGAATGAATATAAGGGAACTAAGGAATCGCTGCGCACTTTCGGTGAAATTTTGTAAAGTAAACTTGAGTGCAAACATCGTTACCTCCCCACTTCCCGTAATTAGGAATACATCCGTATTAAATTTAGCATGTGGTTAAGTAAAGGGTTGTATAGTGGCATAAGTAGCGGGGTACTGGGACCTAAGCCATAAAACATTTCGAAATTAAAGTCCGTCATTATTCCGTCAGAAGCTTTAAGAAAAACTGTTTAAAAAAGGCACTTTAAAACGGGATAAATTTTCTGATATTTGTGACTTTCAAGCGTCTGACAATAACATTATATCTCCATGGATTTAAATATGGCCATAAACCCAAGGGTTGCGCATGTCGTTGCTTAGGCCTTGGAAGCTGTATAGGCGACAGTATGAATTTGTCCACCTTCGTCCCAGTTCTTGAAGAAAATACGCCGGGCAACGAATCAAAGGTTTGCTATCCTTCTTTCCTTTCCACAAACCTCTCGAGAGGAATTTCACTTTGGTGGTATTATAAGTGCCTACATGTCATAAAAACACTATACACTTGCAGACATTCATATCTTCTCCGCGATTCTAGTCCAGGCTTAAGGCTAAGGCAGATAGCTCCCTTAATACCGCATTAACAGGGCGGCTGGATAAAGTTATAACAATAGCTGTTATGGTCTGATGCTTAACATAAACAAGTTTTTGCACAGCGCATTCACAAGATGCGATATGTTTTTGCAGTATGTGGAAAAGACATTTTGTGATAATTTCATTTTGAAGCGAGTTTAAAACTGGCAACAATGAGAAAAAAATTCAAAGGATATATCAATGATTAGCAGCTACAAGGGTGCAAGAACTGGAAATAGTTAGGAAGCCACTATGGATATTTTGTGTATGTTTTTAGCCATCTAAAAAGTACACTTTTACTATTAGAGTTATATAGTAATTCGTAATTATAATCTCAATAAATTATGTCCGTCAACTTTAATTTAATATCTAAGAGAATGAAAAGTAGAACAAAAATGTTTTCTTAACCCCTCTGTCGCTTTTAACAGTAAAATCTGATAATTAAAAATGATACGTGATTTTCTTTTTACTTATTTTAATTTTGAGTTATACAATTGAAAATGTGGGATTTTCCTTTTAATCTTGTAATATTTATCATGTCACAGTTTAATGAAAAGGGTATCAGCCAGTGAAAATTTAGCAAAACCCAAGGTAAACCAAGGTAGCTTGAAATAACATAGCAGTTCCTTCTGCTGTATAGCCTAAAATTTATGAAGTATTTCCCGCTTTTAAGCATGAAACATTAAAATATAATATTGTTACAGTAAAGCTTTTAAAGGGCGCTATTTTACAACTGTTTTGCATCTTCATGATCGTATCTGTAGGGTATGATTGTAAGTTTAGATTTCGATTAAGCGAGGTTTTAAATTACTATAGTTTTAACTTCCTTTAGTAGCTCAGTTTAATTAATCCGAGGAAAAGAATAAACTAAACCTAGTAAGCAAAAAATATACGTTACATTCAGAATTTAAAAAATTTTAACATAAACGTTTTCGCAAGGCCTGCCGGAAAAAATATATCATACGATTGCAAACGCATAGATCACATGATCATTTTATTTTCAACATAACGTGCAATGTTTGACTTGAAAATAAAAGTCCTTTAAATAAATTTTCTGATTCTTCTACACTTTAAACTACAAAAGTTGGTATCTTACTCGAAAACAATAATATCTCAATCACTTAACATATCAAAAGAGTACCAATCTCTAACCAATGAAAAGCTACATGTGAACAGAGTTTACTTTTCTTATTAATCAATCATAGAAGTTAATGCAGTAGGATGTTCTAAATTATTTCAAGAACTTGGAAGGAATTTTAATTGTATTCTTCTTATTCAATTAAGCATTTTCAAAAATAGAAGAAATATTTGAAATCTTTAGGTAATTTTAATATTAAATTTTTGTAACAAAAATATGAATACCATTACGAAACTATTTTATTCGTTCGTATGTTTAGAAAAATGTTACATTTTATATATATGTATTCCCTAATTGCAATCTTATTTCTTTTCTGTAACTCCATAATAAGTATTGATCGCAGATTGAGCCTGTTTTGGTTAAATTCTTGACATTTTTTTCATGAAATACTTTATTTTCTTGTTTGAAATTCTGTTAGCTTTATTTATATTAGCTGTGATCGCAGCGTTTTATTCCGAATGAATCCTTTAATGGTATTTTTATGCAAATTCTGTTTTATTTCTGCTTAATCTTAGAAGATAACTTGTCACCGTGAACCAGAAAATAACATTCGTTTGCTTTATTCTTAGCTGTTAATGCCAAGAAATTGTTATAATAAAAGAGATTCTTAAATGTTTGTTTAAATTATTATTATGCTGATTTAAGTTTAGTTTTTCTTAACACGTGAACAAGAGAAAAATAATCCTCAACGTTTCAACGAATCACGTTTCTTTGTACACATTAGGAATATATAATTAGTTAAAGCTTTGCGAGTCTTCATATAAATAATGACGCTTATAACTATCATAAATATGAATAACAAAAACTGCCCATTAATAACATAAAGCTGGACAAGAAAAAAGAAATAAAGATAACATTGCATTGCCATTTTATTTTTCTTCTCCAACTTCATAAAGAATTTTGTCGGTTTTGTTTCGAGGAAGAATATTGCAGTAGAAAAATTAAATAAACTTATTTATTAGCATTAGAATATTCAGATTGAATCAATTTTTTCAGGTTATTAAGCTTAATTTTTATTTCTGCAAATTCAAGATAGTTGAAAACAAAACAGTTTATTATTAGAGATATCATTTTTATTAATTTGTGACACAATTAACAGGTTTAAGAATAAGAAATCGTTAATTAAAAAAAAATAGATGCGGAAAACGGAAACAAAAATTAAACAGTTTTGTCATCACACCTGGCACCGGAATTTGAAGTAACATTAGTAAGGAACTGTTCTACTTAAGTTAAGTTAATGTTATTAA